CGTCGTCGAGGTATACGATGCAACTTTGCCATTTCAGACCGGCCAGCACTGTGTCTATGACGCGCTGGAAGGTTGCTGGTGCTGTACAGTCGAGCTCGGTTATATCGCTCGGGTATTTAGAATTATTGTTTGTATCAAAGAGTCCAAACATTCCCTCGAAAATCACACGTAATACTATAGCAGTGTTGTCTCGTATCGAGCTCCCATGGTGGGGAAACTCTATATAGCAGCAGTGGCCTCCCGTTGCTTTTCCCGCGATGCAATTGCACGGGTGGTGAGCGCATCACTTGCGGGGCTGGCATATCGCCGAGCCAGCAGAGATATGCAGCGAAAGAGCAGTTGTCAAAGAGGCAATGAACCGTAGAAAAAAGCAAAAAAAGGTGGAGGATGGCAAAAGCAAGGGGAAGGGCCTGTACATAAGGGCAGCTGGGAGTTCTCGCTGTCGGAACGGTAGCCTGCGCCCTTTCCCGGACCGCCGCCGATGCTGCGCCACTCCCTGGCTCTGAAATAAAATGAGTAAAACAAAAAGGTCTTTTTAGTGTGTTCACAACAAAGGCTGTGCTATCATACTTCCAACGCCTTATCTTTTCTTTCGCCGTTTTTGCTTTGCCCATTTTCTTTCTTCTTTTTGCTGCCTGACATTTAGTGAGCTTTCTTTTTTATTGCTCGCTTAACTACTTTTCATGGTTTTTTATGCCTCTCACTCTTCCGTTTCCCTTTCATTTTTTTTAAATTATTTTTGTGTTTTGTCGTCTATGCTGTGTGGAGATCCCGGCCAGGCGTGTAAGCGCGGCAGTGTTTGCGGTCTTCGCCCCTTTTTGCTCTACCGTATTTAGCGGCTCTTGGATGCTCTCTTTGGTAAGCTCCCGTTTGTCGGGACCTTCGGTATTAGCAGAGGCCAGGAAATTTCAACTCGAGCTTAATTTAACATATTTTTGTATATCAAATTATTGATGCATAGAACTATTTAACGATTCCTTTTGAATTCAATATATCCGGGTTCGACTAACATATTCGGGTCCCACAGTTGGAAACGTGTGGAAACTCGGAGGAAAGAATGCACGTGCATAGCGTGTAATGCCCCAGCAAACTGCGGCTCAGCTCCACGACCTTCGTCCATTGATGTCGTCACTGGGTACAGAGGTGCCGAAACGGAGGGGTTGGAAGAGAGTCCCAATGATAGTTCCGAGAGGCGTAATCACCTCGCGGGTCGATTACGCCTCTCGTGACATCAGTTCCTCTTCCTAGGAGCAGTTGTACGCCTCCTTCCGGTGGAGCTTCGCCGTTGGTGTCTGCGGTGGTCCCGACGCGTAGAAAAACACTCGGCTGCGGCGGCAGGTTTGCGTGGTCAGCGAGGAATCGGACCGTGGCCAATGTCGCTCTTCCGACGGTACAACGGGTTTCCTTAGCATCAGTTGTTTCCCTTCAAGGTTGACGACGGCACCAGACTCGCGCAGGAAGTCCAATCCAAAGATAATGTCCCTCGCTCAGTCCCGTAGATTGACGGACTTCAGCGGACATGTTTCCCCGTCGTCTTATCTTTCTAAAATCTTCTACTTACGTAAAGGAAGACAAGTGGTGCTGGGATTCGAACCCCGGCCACCTGCTTGGGAGCCAAGCGTGCTGCCCACTTGGCTAGCTGCGCACGCGGCAATATTTGTACTCATTTAAGTGTCGGTAGCGGAGGGTCATCCCCGTTGGATCCGCTCCTTACCGGACACGAATGCACTGTGGAAGGGCAACAGCCGTGGAAGCCGGCTCTGCAGGTGTTCTGCAGCGCACCGGTGCTCGGTAAGAAGTGCGCTCAACGGGGCTCACCTGCCGCAGAGCCGCACCAGAGAGAGTCAATGGGAGGGGCTGGCAAAAGTAGCGCATATTGCCCCCTCAAAGCTGCTATCTTTTGTTTCTGGATGAGGCGAGAAGTACATGGATGGATAATTGTAAGAGATTGAGTGAAATGGGGAGCTTCAAGCTGCTTTTACTGAGCCAGAAAAGGTGACATCGACTAGAAATGGTTCCCGAAACAGTAGGCAAAACTGCAAACGTGGGCTGCACGTTCGGTGTTAGGGTCAAAATCGCCACGAAGCTGCGTCCACAATTTTTACCGTTTGCTCGGTCGTGGCTGCGACTGCGATCGAGAGTGAGATGGAGTGCATTCTGAATGTCGCCTTGACGACGACGTCACGTGCGTTGCCCTTTCAGTTACAAAGGGTCACAAACTTCCACTCTAGCGTGCTGGAATGAAGTACTTAAATACAGCCTTACCTAGAAATTGTGATTGAAAGATACGAGTCAAGTTCATTGCCTCCGCTAGGGGAATATTTGTGGCTAGTGGTTGGTCACGAGAGCTGTCAATTGATGCGCCCAAGGTCGTTGAAACAATTTTGGCCAATGACGCGCCCTTATTTTCGCCCTAATCTTACCAATAAATGACTCTACATATACTGCTCTTAACCGCTGCGGTTAACCCTTGGAAAGATACAAATATTGCAGTTCACCTCAAAACGAATATCGACTGGCATGTAGTTTGAAACTACTATGAGAATATTTGCACAATCCTCATGTGAGCCATTAGGAAGGAAAGAAGCTTCTTTGAATGAACATGGGGCCAAAGGTAAGCCAGAATAGGCACAAAAGAGACGTTGGTGAAGCTCAATCGAGGTCATCGCTCCTCAACATCCCGTAACAGTGAGTTTTGAAAAGGGTGTATTTGACCAGAATCTATTTGGAGGAACGTGAGAGATCCGCATCCACTTTTGCGCACCGCCTTGGATGCCAACCAGCACTTGGAATCTCGAGAGCATTTGGGTTTGGTCGTAAGGAGTACCCTTCCTGGTTTTATAATTAATGTAAGAATGGCCCGTACGGCTTTCGAAAAAATTTGCCGTCTCCCTGGCATTTTACGAGGGCCTTTTCTAGGGCCTCTTTGTGCTCCGCTTTTGTGGGCGCAAGAATGAGGCCTTGAAAAGGCTCCATGGTTTTGAGGACAGATAAAGTAGTCGGTGTCACCCACGGGAACACACGACGTCTAAATGCCACGTCACCCGATGGCGTGACAATCTTCACGCCGATGGCGTCACAATCTTCGTTGTGTTCGTGCAAACATCACATCGTTTGTGTTCATGCAAACATCACATCGTTAGCGGGACGTCGCCATCGAGGCTATGTGCCGTGGACATTAAAGTGCAAAGAGCTCATAAATGCTACGCATTTAACCCTTTCAAGCTCAAGGTTTTCTGCAAGTGACAAAAAAGAATTGCCAATGTGCAAGTTTTTTTTTTTTTTTTCAAAATTTTTTAACATATGCATATAGACATTTGCAAAATGAGCTCACCGGCCGCCTTTTTGCAATTTAAGCGACTTCTATCTGTCAGAAATTTCCACCACCCGCCTGAGCTGTGGAAACCCCGGTCCCCACCTGCAGTGTTCATTCGGAGTTCGCCGGCTTCTCTCGAAAGCTTTGACTTTATTTGGCCGTTCAGGATGCTTAACCTTTTTGCGTTGTTTTCCCCCGTGAGAACCGGGGAATACCGAAGCTTGTGGCTGGTTCGGTCTTTGCAGGAAATGAACAAAGAGAGCGAAGGTCTTGCGGGCCGTTCGACGTTCTTTGAGGATTATTTCCGTCGAGATAATCTCCGAAAAACTTCCCGGCTATATTTCCGGTCTTTGCGAACAATAGCCGATAGGGTCGAGTCCGGGGTATGGGGACAGAATAGGCATCTTCGTTAATTTTGTTTGGCGCAGCGCAAAAAAAAAATGGCTCTCTTCAAAACGTGTCCCAAAACAAGCCAGATTCCATCCGATGGTCGTAAATTGACCATCGTCAGTCGACACTATGTTGGATACGCCGTGTTATTCGAAACCTTTCTCAAATCCCCTTCGGATAGCGGGGTACTGAGCTATGTACAATATATCTTGGATTGATGAGACTCGTTGAATTTCACGTTGGAGCGGGGAATGCCCTTGCAGTTTGGCTGTCCTGTGTGGTCAAATATTTTCGACACTCGAGACCTTCGTAGATTGACAAGGCTGAGTGTATGGTGCCATAAACAAATCAACATAAAATGAAACACTCCAGTTGCATTTGTTCTGTCGCGTACGGACTCGCCAAAAATAGCTTTCATTCGATCGTTTTTGTTCCCAAAAATAGTAGAATGCTTTCTAAGAACCCCGAGGAATTCTATTCGTCGTAGAACGCGAAATAAAAAATAAATAAGAGGCGGCAATTTAGCCGCCACCAGCGTCTGGAATTGTGCCTACGCAGGCAGCCCACTGACGAGAGAACCCAGAGCCCAGCGTAGTCGGGCAATGCTGAGGTACACTCAAAACCGGGGACGCGCGCTGTAAGTAGTTTCGTCGGCGACTGCTGCTGGAAAGGTTTAAGTGGTGCGAGGATTCCCGATCGAGAAGCATAGAATAGAAACATTGAGGGCCAAGCATTCTCTCCTTCCATTTGGCATCCTTTGGTGCGTCTGTCCGCCCCCACGACATTCCGGTGGTCTCGCACTCTGAACTGGAAAGCGGAGCCTCTCCGTCGGACGACGAGCTCTCCTCCTCTGAATTCGAGTCCGAGACTTATTGAAACTCTGACTGAGAAAAACTGCCTCTTGGATTGCTTTTGCCCTCTAAAGGAGCCAGTGCAGATGCAGGGAGGGGCCACCTCGACGCGCCTAGCTTAGAATTTCCAAACTGTAAATAGCCCCGGCAGAGTGAAAGGTGGCGCGAATAAGATGACTATCTTCTCCAACACGTAACAGACAGCCTCCAGGGGTGCGTGCAGTTTCGCATTTAGACGAGAGCTTTCGAACGTGCGTGTGGATGTGCGTGCACGACCCCGTGAGATGCTCCCGCACCGTCGGACACGCGTGGCAGCCAACCTCGAAGGGGGCTGCAAGTGTTCGTTGGGATCGGCCGAGAGAGCCGTGGGAGTGACGAGGCGTCGTGTGCACGGGGGTCGTCGCCTCCTTGGCTGCGTCCGCTGACGATCTCCCTGGGTGCAGCCAACGTGTCGCAGTGGCTGCGCACGGTGGGCAGCCGGGTGGCCTGGCACTACCTGGTGCGGCCCCGGGAAAACGAGTGCACCAACGGCCACCACAACTGCGACGGCGCCAGGGAGGACTGCGTCGACACGGACGACGGCTTCGAGTGCCGCTGCAGGCAGGGCTACGCCCTCGTCGGGTGAGTCTGGTTGCTGCCATCCCGACGATCGACCGTACAAGTCCTGCCAAAGAAAGACGAGCAAATGCGACCTTTGTTGGCAACGGATCCCAAATTCCGGGCCCCGTATCTACGTCGGCATCGTTTCGAGGGCCCCTGAAAAGAAAAATACTTCTTTTTTTTTAACAGTCTGGTTGGGACAGGCGCGCTGAGGCATAAATTTTACGCAAAAAATGAACTTTTTTAGAGCAATATTGGTGGCGATATTTATTTGAAATTATGCGCGTAAAGTCCATGACGTCACGGAATGGTCACGCACTCTTTCCACCTCAACGTGACGGTGAAGCTGGTCCACCTCTCCTCCACGCGCCTGGACCGAGAGGGAAAACAATCGGAAAGGAGGTGACTAGCGACTAAATCGCATCTCGTGCTCTTAAAGGGATACTTCAACGAAATTTGAAATATTCCCGTCGTGTTCAAAAATAGGTTGAATATGTTTGTATTTTGAGCCTGGTGGCTGTATTTTTCGTTATAAACGGCCCACTCTGGCAAGCGCTCGGAGAAGGCCCAGCTTAGAGCATGTGACATCCAACGCAATTGTGACGTAGGTCGTCTCAAGACGAGCAAAGCTACGGCGAGTCTGACGTCGAGAGGATGGCCTAGTCGTTCCAGCCACCGAAGCGGCTGCTTTTGTTCGAATTTTGAGTGACGGGTTAATCTTCTATAATCTTCTAGGGGGACAATAGCGACTTCTGCGACACACAAAAGGGATTCTCGGGAAGAGGGGAGTTCCTCCTTCCCCCCTTCTCTCGTCGTGGCCGGAGACGAGACAACCTCCGTCACTAGCTGTCAAGGTTCCTAGACGAGCATTACAAACGAGGCGTTAGCGACATCCACCAGGTGCTCTTTGCTAATCGTTTAATTCGTTTTAAAATTCATTTTCGAGACTTTTTTAACAAGATATTGGTATGTTCCATGTGATACTGCTCTTTTGAACACATATAGACCAAAAAAATGAGCGCCGAAATTTCGTTGTAGTATCCCTTTAAGATTGCTCTAAAAAATTTTTTTGACAGTCCCACCCAAACTGTTTAAAAAAAAAAAATTTTCTTTTCAAGGGCCTTTTTAAAGTGGCGACGGCGGCCAATAGTTTTACCTGACTTGTGCATTCCTCATTCTTTTTGAAGCAATAGCTTTGCGAGTGACACCCTGCAGGGATTTCGGTGTTGGCATTTGTATTTGTCTGTCGTTGCAGCGGAGATAGAAAAATCCTCCTCTCCTGGGTCGAGGAGAAAGAAGTCGGGCGTTCCCATTGGCCGTGCTTTGTGAAAAACCCCGACGACCCGTGAATAACGGCGCAACAACGAGGAAGCGTCGGCGGAGCGTCTTCCCCTGCTCTTATAACTTCAAAACGGGTGTTTTCGAAGATTACTCGCATTATACGGACTCTGACTTTGGCAGTATCCAGTTGCCACGTGTAATGTTGGGGGGCTTTTGAAACTCCCACCACGTTTGATTTCACCACGGCATCTCTACTTCTCGAACTTGGCTCGAAACGTAAAATATGTTCTTTCAAAACTCGTCATCTTTTTTTTTTGTTTGTTTGTACCGAAACCGTTGCGAGATGAAACGACTGCTTTCGGCATGACTCGCATCGCGAAGTAGGGTGCCCAAAATTGTATGAGATTACAATTGTATCTGAAATACCCGATTCTGAGTACAGTAGACTCTCATTAATACAGACTCCAGGAAGCCGGACATTTTGTTGGAATTATTGGAAGTTTGATTCAAAATTTATCTTGGTATGATTCAAGATAAAAATATGATTTGCCATATGAGTTGCTAGATGTACAAAGCAGATATTTCATGATTTCCCCTACATAGGCCTACTGATCCTAAGCAGGTATGCCACTCACAAAGCACTTCTGAAATGGACGACGTAAGCTTCGTAATCTTTCCAACAGGTTTATCGTAGGCTGTCTAGATGGCAACTCAACTTTGTTCGTCGGGCCAAGAAGTTGTCTATGAAGCGGGAGACAGACGAGCGAGCAAGACGGGCACCATGCGGCAGTTTTCCTGGCAACTTGCGTGGACGCTGTGAGGTGGACCTATGCCACCACGTCACAAGGACCGTGCAAGTTGCTATGTAAATTTCTGGGTGTGCCTGGCTCTTGCCCCGTTGAGTGCGCTTCTCACCCATGACTGGCGCGCAGAAGCAACACCCCCGGAAGCCAGCTACGCAGGTGCTCTCTGCACTGCACCCATGCTCGGAAAGAAGCGCCCTCAATGGGGGGCCGCGGGAACAAAAAGAAAGAATTACTCGAAAATGCCGCTTGAAATAAGTGGCGTAGGAATAGATTAAGAACATAGCGGGACAGCCGAAATCTCGAAATTTGCTGGAATTAACGACAAGTGTGAAATATCAGAGATTGAATTATCGCGAGCCTACCGTATACTAATACGGTGGACGAATAATGTATGATTAAATACCAAATACTCGGAAGTATCTTTATACCTATTACGAGTAGACCATATTTCCCAAACTACCGGGTGATTCAAGGAGACGGCAGGCTCTTTAAATCGACCGGAAAATTCAATTTCCTAACCTATCGCGCTACGACTTTGTGCAGCGTTGCCCACAGATGGTGCATTCTTTTTGTAAAATTTACAAAGAGCGAACTTACCTGAGGAAAAAGTAAAGAAAGAAAAAGGCTTAGCTCCTATGGGAATGCAGCAACGCCACCGGTCTGCAAACAACACGGCGCCGTTTTGCACGGGAGACAAGAGATGGCGCAACGAATGCCGCCAACGAACGAGCATATGGCGCCGAGAGCCAGCGTCTTTAGCAGACAATCTTTTCGACTCAAAAGCGGAGCGCGTTCCACGGGCGGCGACAGTCGCAGAAACAAGAAGTTTGCTAAATACGCCGGCTCTCGGCGTCGTCTGCTCGTTCGTTGGCGGCAGTTGGCGTCGCAACCGCTTGCGCTAAATGCCGACGCATTTGGTCGAGAATCGGCGTAGCAACCGCGATAATTTCGGCATCATTTTTTTTTTCTTTATTTCTCCCGAGGTAGCAGAGTTGCTGGGGCGCCAGAAATATTGGTGCTGAAACCGCATTTAACTCGACACTGCATCGCATTCTGCGTTATTGCCTTTGCCACGGCAGTGGGGGAAAGGAGCAACTTTTTAAATACCTTGCACATTGTTGTAACGGAAACAAAAATAAGTGTGAATGCTCTTCATTTCGAAGGCATCGCGACTGTGGTTCCTAAGCACACCGCCCCGGTTGCTTACTCACCCATAGTTGCGATTTTACGACTACAAGCAGCGGACGTTGGTGCCACCGAGATGATGCCCACTGTCCGCCTGGCAGCATCTACCTCGCGAGGGGGCTGAGGGCAAAGCCTCGGTTGGTTTCCTTGACTGGTGCCCGAAGGGAAACCATGCGATCTTGCCAAGTGCCCCGAGTCGGCACCGATAATGAGCAACTTGGTAAAACAAATCCTGGTACAGCCCACAACTTTAGGTATTGCGTGCAGGCTCGAACATCACTCTTTAACTGTGCACTATAGTATGAAGGCTACAGTCCATAAAATGTGTTTTATTTGAAAGAATGCCCATCCTCGGGGTTGACCTAGATTCGAGTAAATCGGGCGTGGCCACCTTTGGTGTATTTTTCTTTTTGCACTTCCAAATTTTTAGGGCTTAATTTCCTCGCCTTTAGCGCGTGCACTTTTTTGTGGATGAAAGAAAACAATTGCAGTAATAGCGATGGCTTTTCTGGTCTTTTTAAAAGAAAAATGAACTATTGGACATATAAACGTAATAGTAAACCTACCCCGATTACGATATCATTGAATAGTCTAATTTTGCGCGTACTTTTGTAGCTATTGACAATTTTCGCATCTATTCACACGCAAGTTTTTTTCTCAGCCGTTATATATAGTCGGAGGTCGATCTGTAATAGCGGAGAAAGAATATTGGCTCTTACAGACGAGGGAAATTTCCGAGCCCGTCAACAAATCAGACGCCGCCCCTGGTTGGTGGCTGCTTCTAGCACGCCGGTGCGAAGTGGCGAAGCTCGACGCGCGTGCATCACGAGCATGCCACGTCTACAGGGAAATGAAATTAGTGGAACCGGGGGAGCGAGCCCCCCAGCACGGCAGAAGCGCTCGCACGTGCAAGAGGAAGGGGGGACGAATGGACTGTTGCAGAAGGCCTAAGGGTTCTTTTTGCCCCTGTGCACCGCAACTGTTGCCCGTTACACCCGCCCGGGCAAGATCCGGCCAGAAGTGCGGACAGGCAGCGAGTAAAAAGAGGGTGGCCGCCTGCCCTATGCGTTGCGCCGGCCGTGTCAGATGGCACTTTTGGAATGCAAAAGCCTGGGAAGGCAAACACCTACAAATTTGGAAATGAATGCACGTAGGCTAGAAGATGTTTAGCGGGTGTTCGTGAATGTAAGGGCCAGGGAAACGTATTAGCGAAAACCTCTTTGAAAGCTGTCTCTCCTTCCTAATACTCTGTCCATCTCCCTCTCGAGCTAATGCATACCACTCGCAGCGGCATCTGCCCCATTTGCACCGAGCTGCGCGAAAGCGCACACCCTTTGCGGACGGAAGGTGCAAAACATTTACGGCTGTCGATCCCCTTTGGGCTCTCGGAAGCTTTCCCGACGGCTCGAGCGGTGCCGGTAGACCCGACCTGGACGGCTGCGTGGGGGCTGAGGGGGGCTCTTTGCAGGAGCGGGGGCTGCCAGCCGGTCTGCCGGCAGGGCTGCGAGCACGGCCGGTGCGTGGAGCCGGACAAGTGCCGCTGCCACTTCGGCTACGTGGGGCACAACTGCTCGACGGGCTGCCGGTGCCACGGCCACAGCGACTGCGTCGGGCCCGATCGCCTCGACGAGTGCATCAGGTGCCACAACCACACGCTGGTACGCGCGGCCAGCCCGCCTCCTTTTGACGCGGGTCACGACGAGACCTAAGCGGCAGTCGTGGCGTTCGTCTACGTGTTCGGCTCGGGAATGTGGCGGCATCGAAGGTAGTGGACGCGCGTGACGATTCGGCAGGGCCCTGGGGGGACGCAAGTTGCGCGGCGTAGCCGGGGCACGAGGCATCTCGAGCGAACTAATTCGCCCCCAAAAACTCCGTCTCTCGTTAGATTCTTCTCCCGCCTTTTCGCGGTCGTGCTCGCGAACAAACGTGCACTTTCTCTCGCCTTTGACCGCGTTTGTAGCGGCCGGGGGTCTTGGCAGGACGCGCAGCAGGCTCGCCGGATTTCTGCGGTTGGCAGACCTCCGTCGAGACTCCCACCCGCTCTGACACCCCGCATTCGTTGCTGGTTTGCTGCGGCGCTGTCCTCTTTGCACACCGTGTCTATTGCACTTGCGGTCTATCGAGCGTGCGGGGAAGGCTGCGTTCCGGTCGACGGGCGGGAGAGAGGGGTTTGACTCTGACAAGGCCCCCTTGGAACCCGCGTGTCGTTAATCTGGATCGTGTTAGTGCGTATTCCACCACACGAAATGACGTCCCTCCTTCACGTTGCGGTAGTTGTTCGTCTTGTCGATGTTGTAGTGGGCTATGTCCGCCATCCGTGTTGCAAAATCCTAGATTGCACCTGTGTACAAAGCGGAGATGTTACCACCGAAATAAGCTGCAACGTTAATAACCCATTCTATACGTCGTGTTTTCGTAGTACCCAATGTGCTCTGGACGCGCTTTCTGGAAAAATCATGGCGTATAATGAAATGCCGTTGTAGCACCGTCAATGCCAAGACCTCGTGCCGGGAGATGAGCTTTCGTGCGCTCCAGAACCAAAAAGAAACCAAAGCGTTTAGGCCAAGAGCTCACGTCAGTTCACGCGCTCTCGAACAAAAAAGAAACAAAAGCGTCGGGAACAAATTGGTCGGATGTTCATTTTCTTCCAAACGATTTCGTTCATGCACCGTGGCGTGTGTGACTGCGACGCCGATGTCGACGACTTTGCCGCGATCTGTCGCAGCTCTCTCAGTGACCGAGCTGGAGATGAACGATTCTCTGGGGACTGACCGGGCGATTTTGGAAAGATTGCTTTAATGAGGGTCCTTGGAGCGGGGATGGCGACCCCGTGTGTCCTTTGGCCCCCAGGGCCCCCAGTGCGGCCGCTGCGAGCCCTTCTACGTGGGCAACCCGAGCAAGGGGGGCGCCTGCGTGCCCTGCCTGGACTACTGCAACCAGCACACCAACATCTGCGTGGAGGCCGGCCAGCTGGACTTTAACGAGTCCTCGGCCTCCCTCTCCCCTTCCGAGTACCTGGAGGTGAGGCCCTTTCTCTGCCCCTTTCCTAGGGCTCCCCACAGAGGACCCCAATTACACCCGACCTCGGGCAGCCAGGAAGCTGCAAAAGGACTCGCGAGTCCCCTTTTACGCATTGTTGGACACGAGATCGACCGAGCGCATTAAAGAACGTATGTGAAGGGAAAAAAATAATTTTTAAAAGCAGCCTAGATGGGAAAGAAGATGCCCTAAAACAAATTTGCGAGGGAAAAAAAGAGCTCTATTTACGGCACAAAATGACCTTGTACTAGTTGGTGCCCGTGGAAGCGGGCGGAAAAGTGGCTCCTAGAGTCCCGCCACTGGCCACGAGAGTCACGTGGTGCTTGCGCTCTTGCGGGAGCTTTCTAAAGGCTCTAAAAGTTGCCGATCATTCTTCATTCTAATTGGGACAAAAAAAGGAATAACCAACTTTTTGAGCCCAGAGGAAGATCCCGAAAGAGCGCAAGATACGCGGGATGGACCCGTGCGCCCTTTAGAAATTGACGGCAGTGGCGCGCTGGAGTGTTCCCTTCCAGCGGCGGCGTGGGGAAAAGTCCCTAAGTAATGATGATGATAATTACTTATTTCTGATTTTTAAATTTTTGATTCTTCAGCTGGATGGAACTCGCAAAGTTTCTTTTATTATTGGAAAAAATATTTGAAACTACTTTTCGCGTACAAAGAAGAAATAAACCACGTTGAATAACCTGAGACTGAGGCAGAAGTGAACAAACAAGTCGAAGGAACAGAAAAGGACGTCTCAAACTCAGCTACCAGGTTTATTTAGTCCGCTTGCTTATGTCAATCAGCCAGCACCAACACAAAAGGGGCAACCTCTCATCAGTTCAAAAGCCAAACCCTCCAATCAGCCACAACCTACACAAAGGGTCCGAACCGTCCAAATGCCAAAGCCTCCGATACACTGAGTAGTACTATGGACGGCCTTCATGCCGATTCACAATCTCTACAATCTCCCCCAAAATTTAACGAAAGAATCAGTACCTACTTCCTTCCAAAAAAGAAAACTTTATGCCAGCGATGAAGGGATGACACTTGCTGAATCTACAACGGGGCAAAGGTACACACATCCAAAGAAAGAAAAAATTATATTTTTAAAAAACTTTTGGAATTTTTATCGAACGAAGCCGGACTTATTTGCCAGCGACCTATAGGGGACGCCACTGTCGGGCAAATATGGCGGTCGAATCCAGGTCGTGCCATGTGTCAGCTCAACGCACAATGCTGGGGCAACAGCAAGAAGCATTGGACTCAAAATTGGTTCCCCCGCATTTTATCTTCCACGTTCTGAACCTGCGGCGTTGTGTTGGGGTAAGCCAACTTCCCGAAGCTTTACTTTCTTGGAGGAAAGGACTGCCCCCTGTCCTTCCACGGTGCTGATGAATGTCGAGAAACGCAGAATGTCACGCGGTTCCATAGGTCTCATGCACCTGGGTCACAAAGAGATATTACGACACAGTCACCGGTAGAGCTGTTCTGTCGCGTAAACCACCGACAACATGGAAGCCAGAAGAGATGAGCAGAAATCGTGGAGGGACCTGTTCCGGCCAGTTCAGTGTTTTCCCGCTAGGTGCCGTTTGTTTTGCTGGTGTCGCTAATGCAATTACCTAGAGATTTTGTCCACACCCTTACTAGTCTTTTTGCATCATTCCTCTCCTTGTGAATGATTTCCGACCAAATCACAGGGCAGTCGTTACATTCTTGGGCATGTTTTGCGATTTCCGAGTTTGGTGCATTGTTCTTCACGTTTCTTTTGTGTTCACTTGATCCGTCATCGATGCATCGTGATGCCTGTTCTACATACTTAAACCCGCACTCCAGTGGTATCTCATACGTAACAATTTACCGATTTTTCTCAGTGGTTCTTTTTGCAGTTATTCGCGCCTGTTTGAAATGGCGTCAATCTACCGAGGTTAAAATCTGGGCTAAAGACCGTGTCTACTCCAAACTTTTTCGCACATGCCTTCAAGTTGTGTGAAATTTCATCAAAAATATGGGATCACAACAAATCTAGTCCTTTCACCTTGTTTCTTTTCTCTCCTTCCTTCGGTAACCATTTCTAGCTGCCGTTTGATAAAACTGTCTTTATACCCTACACTGATCAACCTTTGGCATTGTCTTTCAACCGAATGCGCGATGAAATGAACACACAATCTGTCTAGCGCGTTTCTGGCCAACAACTTTACAACCCCAGCTTTTACGATCTTCGAATGACAGCTAATCCTTGGCAACACCGGTTTAGAATTTTCTTGATCCCTCGATTCGTGTGAATATCTAAGTCAATATCCCTTGATTCATGTGAATATGTAAGTCTAGGAACTCTAGGACCCCCCTTTCGGGTTTTTTTGTGGTAAACTTCAATTCCGGAGCCGCTGATCTTATCTCACGCTCCAGACTGCCTGTTAGATCATCCGTTAGCGTGCATACTATGATGTCGTCCGCATAGCTTCTTACTAACGCCATACCCGGGGACTTCTCCTCCAGTCGATTGTGCACTACTCGATCCAAGGAGTCAACTTCCGCTAAAATCGGTGCAACCTACAAACCTATACAAGCGCTGTCTTTTTGAATGTACTTCCCTCCTTCGTATTCGATTAGCGTGGACTTCAGATAAACCTCGAGGATTGTTGGGAAACTCTCTAACGATACATCTGAACGAGATTCAACTCCAATGCCTCTCTGCATCAACCGAGTCTTTTCTAGGGAGCAATAAAGGTCCTTTAATATTCATGGATGAAACAGAACATTGCTGCCCATGAAACTTTTCCAAAATGTCGATCAGCTCATTTGAATTTCTTACGAGACAATCGACCTTCGCTGGAGAAACTTTGAAACTACTTTCTGCCAAGTTCTGTTCTCATTGATGACCGCACGGAGAGGCATTTCAGGTTTATGGTCCTTGAGAAAGAACCTGATACTTAATGTCGAATTTGTAGCACTCGTGATACTTTTTGCTACATTCTTTAAGTTGTCTTCATTCAGGAGTGCACAAATGTTTCTTCTCAATTTTCATACATTGCCCACCCACTCGGAGAACAGAGATTCCATTGCAACTTGTGTTTTTTTTTTCCTTTGTTTTTTTTTTGTTCACGCTTTGTTTTTATTGATGCCCTCAGCACCTTGATCTCAGATCATTTGTGGGAGGAGATGAGCGATGGGGATGATGTTGGATGAAAATATGTTAAAATAGATGGCGAATGCCTGCCTCCCGAATGAATTTCAGGAGGGACTGAAGCACTGCCTCTCTGCCTGCTTGTGCGCCTTCGGGACTCGTCCATTCTTGGAAGTTTGTAGGACGAAGCTGATGTGGTAGTTTGCGGATGACACTTGGGTGAATACGCTCTGTCGCTGGGCATCCCCAGACAAGGTGCTCCCCCAGCGTAGCTTGCTGTCCGGACTTGCACCGGTCGCACTCCCCCGCGACAACGGGTGGCGGGTCGTCTGGGTGTCCTCGTCGTCTTGTGAGGCCAAACTTGTACCGAAGAGCCGGAGTCGTGGCGGTGCGCGTTCTAATACGCCGCAGGATTACCCTATCGGCCCGACTGAAGCGTGTCGGTAGGGTTCCGTGAGGGTCTGGTGGTATTTGGGCAGCGAGGGTTTCCCTTCGATGTTTCCTTTTCAGGGACAGAAATGCGTCTGGGTTGAAGGGTAGGACATTATTTTCTCCTTCACGACCGACACCCTGTAGGTCCCGATTTGGAAGCACCGGCGCAGACTCTAGCGCTGCTTTGGCCGCATTGTGGGCCTCTTCGTTTCGATGCCGGAATGACCCGGCACCCACCCAACCTGAAGGGTTCGCCCATCGAGGGCGAGGAGCAGTGCGATTGTCCTCAGCTGGCGGACCGTCGTGTTGTACGAGCTGACGTCCTGGCACTCGGCGTAGGCGTCTCTGGAATCGGTGAAGACCCATATAAAATCGAATGGATTCGTGTATGCATTCTGTTGACACACGGCCTCACGTGCACCCTGCCATTGGCAAGACGGCAAACTTTCTGGACCTACCCGTTTCCAATAGTTTTAATGACTTTGTTTCCAAGTCCTTCTTAACCGCGTTCACCTCTCCGTCTTTTGTCCTTTGGGTACGCCTCCCCCGTGACTTTCTCCATCCTACTGATAGCTACAAAAGCAACCTTTTCTTCCGGGATTATGGCCACAGTATGAATGGTAGACGTCAAGTCTCGAAGGTTTTACACCTAAGCAACGCTTCTGCCCCTTAGCTAACACTTTGTCCGTCTTGCGTGTTAATGCTTCCCCACATGGATTTACCAGAGACTGTCGGGACCATGCATCAACCCCAAACCAGGTTTTCCGAACCCCATTGTGAACAATTTTCGAGTTTTTTAGACTGCCCAATACACGCTTCACGTACCATAATCGGTCGAACGGGGTTCTTTTGGTGCTGCTCCATCGATGGTACTCCCGGTGGAACTTGAAATCATGACCCAGGAGAAGCGTCCAAAGTCTGTCGCAGGCTCCTCTGACGTCCTGGATCCTTTTGCTGGCTCCGTCCCGGTAGGCCTTGATTTTTTTTAAAACGCGTTAAGCCAGCGGTGCACCACACTCTTTGTACCACGCTCAGCGTGCGGCAGCGTGTGGGCTCTGGTGACTTCAGCAGCGGCGCTGTCGTCTCCAGCGTAACTTGCAGCGGCCACGGCGCGCAGGTTTACCGCGTGACTAGTGGCCGGTCGCACAACTGGTAGCCACTTGGGCGCCAACTACAAATTCGTTTCGCGCCATAGACGTATTGGTAAAAAAACTTTTTCTCGTAAATTAATTTTTGACATTCTTTTTCCATTTAGGCTGTCTAAACTTTTTTTTCTTGGCGTATGTTTTGTAAGGCATTGCGGCTCGAACCACGTGGAGCAAAGGCTCGCACCGCAGAACCCAGGGGTCGATACCCACCCCTGTCCGTTTCGATCCGGAGGAGCGTATTGCCACTGTGTAGTGTGCGTTAAAGACCCTGGGCTAGCGGTTGTATTGCACCACCTCGATTTTTCACCTCCGGCGGAGACACCCCACGGGGGCCGACCAACCTTCCGTCGTCTCAACTAGGGATGTCGCGAACCACCCCAGGTTCGATTTCGGAAGGTTTCGATATTTGCGAAGCGAACCGAGGTTCGATTTAGAAAAATTTCGATATTTTCGTACCGGCCGAGGTTCGAATTAAAAAAATTCGCAACTTTCAATCACAGTGGAGTTTCGAATTCGAAAAATTCGAAGCTTTCACGGTTTCTAAAATTTCGGATTCGAATATTTTTTACTTCAGGTTCGATAAATTCGAAGATTTAGAAATTCTTTGGAAATAAAATTCGAAAACTTTGAACGCTTCGAATTTTTATAAACATGAAGTTCGAAAAATTCGAAGATTTCGAATTTCTTTCTGCATAAAGTTCGAAAAGTTCGAAGGTTTCGATTCTCTTTTAACGCTAAAGTCGAAAAAAAAAACTTCGAAGATTTTGAATTCCTTTCTAGTCCAAGTTTTCAAAGTTCGAAGTCTGGTTTTCAAGTTACTCCACATTTTCAGTTTCAAATAACGTTTTCACGACTCACTGGTTTTTCTCAAAATCAAGTTTAGAAAAGTTAGGGTGTGATATCTAAATTCTGCGAAGTTGGTCAGGCAATTAAATGAGACGACGAGTGTCCCGGATGTGCTGGAATATTTGCCAGTGCAGAGCGACGTGTGACCATGGATCAGTAATTGTAACCGCCAGCCCCGGGGGGGGGGGGGGGGGGGGGGTGGTCTTTAACCTGGATCACGCAGTAGTGATCACACGAACACACCGTTTTACTAGACTCATCCAGTTCAAAACGACCAGGGGCGAGCAGGAGGTTGAGGCTCAGGAAAACCTTGAAGCGACCTGGCAAACTACCTCGCCACCCCTTGTACGCTGGTAGTAATCCGATCGAACGCCGCCCGAGTGATGCTGGCATATAGCAAGTTAAGTTTGTAATTCTCCTGGAGGTTTGTTTTCTGGGACGGAGGAATCGCCTCGCAAAAAGTCGACACAACTCGAGGTCGAGGAGCTTTATACCGTACGAGTGGCGTCGGAAGAGGAAAAACAGGGGGAAAGAGGATGGGGGGGGGGCTTCAGTTCCCTTCCCCCCCTTCCAGATATTTTGGACTGTTAAAGAAAACAATACGGGGAAAGAGGGCGTGGTCAAGCTTATTTTAATTTTAAATTATTTATGCATATGTATAGCTACTGTCGCCGCTCTTCACTGCATAAAAGATTGCGTAGATGGTCATTGTTAGAAACTCGTTGTCAGAAGGCACTACTCGTCACATGCTTAGTGGAGTGGTTCCGAAGTTCAAAGCTATGTCTTTTCGACCTAAATACCTGTGCCAATAGTAAAAAAAAGAATAAATGCGGGGATAAAAAGCTGGAGAAAAAAAAACAATCAAGAATTCGCCAGAAGTGTTGTATTCTTGCATATTCAGAGGTTCAGAACTTCGAAACAAGTTTCTTTTACCAAAATGTGTACAGGTTAAAAGAAACACGTCCCAGGAACGTGAAGCGAAAAAAAAAAAGTTTTCTTTTAATGACATGCTGAACTTGAACACTATTAGAAATTTTCTCCCATGAGTTAATTTATTCCTTAACGTGAAAAAACAATAAATACATTATTTTGTATTCTGCAGATGGCAATGATATGTACTGTCTGTGGTGTTAATTGAAATGCGATATACCTCAAACAATTTAAACGAAAATAAATATCAAGTTTAGGGCATAATTGCATGTAGATACATGTTTGGACATTTCTTCGAAACTCACGTTCAATAACATAATCACATCTTAAGACGGCACTCATTCTTAAAAAAACTATAACATCTCTACCATAAATAGCTTCGGCTACAGCGCGCTTCAAATCTGGCACAAACGATAATTGTCAAAAACCCGTCGTCCTTCCTCGCCCCTTCGGGAATTTTTTTATTTTTTTTTTATTTTAAAACTAAGCATGCCAGAACATTGAAATAAACGGCATTGTCTTTCTTAAAGAACGCAGCACCGCATGTCAAGTTCGAGAAAAAAAAATTATGAATGTACCTCACTACTTGAATTCAAATGAAACTGTCCGCCGGTCTTTCGAAGTTCGTCGAACTTCTGACTTTTCAGGATTCGAAAGTTCGAAACTTTTCGAATTCTCTCGATAAATAAGTTCAAAAGTTTGAAATTCATCAAACTTTTTGGTCAGTCAAGTTCGGAAGTTCGACAAGCATCGAACTTTGCAGCACAATAAATTCAAAAGTTCGAAAAAGATTGAATTTTTTAGCGTAATAAGTTCGACGGTTCGAAAAGCGTCGAACTTCTTAGCTTAACAAGTTCGAAAATTCGACTTCCGTCGAATTTTACGATATAGACAATTCGAAAAATCGAAATCTTTCGAACCGCTTGATTCGATCATCGAAACTTCGATCCGAAAAAAGTTTGCGGCATCCTTAGTCTCAACATACACACGCCCTGGAGCAAAACCTAGCGAGCGCATCACCCTCGCTACAGTCGCCAACAGAAGGAGAACAGCGTGTCGTTCGAGCGCTTGGCACGCGCTTCGTGCATTCTGCCGTGCTTTAGCTGCGCGCACATGCTCAAAGTGCACGAGACGACGAGGCACCGTTAAAAATAGAAAACTTGCACCGGAGGGTGGTACAACGGAAGCTACTTCCTGCCGTTCTGGCCTCGCCCGCGACCCGTCGCATTTGAGGAGGGCCGGTTGTCCTCCCTCAAACGTGTGACGGCAATGTGGAGAGCAGCGTTGTGACCGTGCAGTCGTTCAAACGCATCGAGCACGGTCCCCTGGAGTCTGCCGTGTGCCGCTTCTGCCAGAACAGTACAGTGGGGCGGCAGTGCGAGGAGTGCAAAGAGGGCTTCTTCCTGGCGGCCAGGGACGTCAGCATGGGTTGCCGGCCGTGAGTTTCTCCTTCTCCGTCCCCTCTGCTTCCAGAGTGGGACGTTTTACTTTTGGGAATTTTCGGAAGTCTGTAGAAACACGTATTGCGTGTGTTGGGAACATTTTATTCTCGGTGGATACGGGAAATTGATGGAACGGAATTGCCGGGGGAATAGAGGATCGTAGCGGAATCGGCTAAAAGTGCTCTTACATTATCGCCGGGGATGGGCGCAGCGCCCTTGAGCCTGCATTCGCCAGGTGACGAGCGCGTCCCCAACGCGTCGGTGGCGTCTCGTAACGGATGCAACGGTGAGGTGCACGCATCTGCCGCGCACTCTCCTCAAACACGTTTTCCACCGTGTAGGTTCGTTAGCGAGGATCGAGTGCCTCCCAGTCGGTACGGGTTGGAGCCCAACATGTCGGCCGTTGCAGGTGCGAGTGCCACGGGCACGGCGACACGTGCGACCGCCGGACGGGCGAGAACTGCAACTGCAAGAACAACACGGAGAACGACCGCCAGTGCAGCCAGAAAAGTGGCAAGAACAACGCCAGTCCCTGCTGGAACCTGCAGGTGGGGTACCGACGACCGGGCCACGCGGAACCTGATCCTTGCCTCTCCCGCAGTGCTCCAAGTGCAAGGAAAACTTCCAGGGTGTTCCGACCAATGGCCACCAGTGCTATCGACACATGCGGCTCGAACAGGAGTACTGCTTCGATCCCCACACGCAAGGTGACCCTTTCGGCCCAAACTCTGACAAATTTTATACCCTAGCCGAAAGCGGAGGCAAAATCCTAGTTTGAAGCAAAATTGCGTCACCATTTGTAACTTTTGTGGAACCTGCATTCATATCTGAGGACAGCCTTTAAATAATTTAACCGAATTGCAAAATAGTGACCGCTAACTAATGTATTCTACCAATGAGTTTGCGACTCAGTTTGCAAATGATCAGAAAAAGAAAACTCGCAACACGGTCTTCGACCGCCACGAGACATTTTTATGGTTCCTGCCTGTGTGCAGAAAGGTAAGTATGCTCTGTTAAAGGACGCATAAAAGTGGAGATGTTGCGAGTCTTCTGACCTTCTTGTTCAAAGAGTTTAGGAAAACTTTTTTTAGGTTTAAATTTGAAAACTTTGGAACTATAAAACCTTGCAGGGATTAAAACTAACAAAGTTAGTATGTGGAGATTCTTGAAAGCTTAGTTTCGAAGGTCTCAAATTTCCTTAGAGATTAAGTTTGAAAAAGTCTAAGATTTCTTATTTCTCTTAAATTCAAACTTTATAAAAATTGGAAAATTTCTAATATCTTTGCAGTGCCAGTTGGAAAAGTTTGAACGAAGTTTGAAGTCTTCGACGATGCTCATTTTTGTGTTGAAAAACCCCCGTAAATCTTTTTTGGGGGCCGTACATCGAAGCAGTTGGTTCCAAAATCCAAAATTAACATCTTAATTACAAAAGCGCAAAGGACAAGGACAGGACAAAGAATGAACAAGACAAGCGCTTACTAACAACCGATTGTTTAATGCAGTGGTCGGCAACCTTTTGGCGAAGCGGGCCGAGTCGCCGTTAAGCTAAGGCGGAACGGGCCGGACGGCAAGCAGCGGGGGGTGATTAAAAAAAAAACACTTGCACGAACTTACATTGACGAACATAAATTGAAAATGAACAGTTTCTTTATTTCATGAGATACGACATTTCCACGAAAACCTAGAGACTCCTCTCAGTGAGACTTTTGGTGTTGAACTGCGCTCGCCAAACTACAAACATCCACATTCAAGCTGCTAACTGCGAGTCACAAAACATTGTGGAGGTTCTCGTCAGTCATTCGTGAGCGGAAGTTGGATTTTATGCACTTCATTCGTGAAAAAGTCTGCTCGCAGACATGCAGCAAATTAGTCAACTTTTTTTTTTTTTTTTTTCTTTAGCTGGCTGCGTATGCGGGAAGGGAGGGTTACCGGGAGGCTGAGGGCCGTATAATACTACCTCGCGGGCCGGATCCGGCCCGCGAGCCGCTGGTTGCCGACCACTGGTTTAATGCATGATAAGAGAAAGACGAAAATGAGAGGAGATTTAATCAATTATAATGCCAATTGTATTCCCACGTAAAATGATTAAAAAGTATTTGAGAAAAATTAGGACTGATAGAAAAACAAAGAAAAACAGCCAGATTAAGAAAAAAGGTTGAGATACCCTATCTCTTTCTCGGACAGTGAAATTGATGGTGTGCTAATGCACGTGTCTCCTTTTTCTATTATAGTTTTTGCCTCGAAAATTTCTCTGGCTCTCTTGCCCCAAAAGCATTTGAGTACTTGGGTTCGGAGCGAGAGAGCCAGAGAAATTTTCGAGGCAAAACCTATAATAGAAAAAGGAGACACGTGCATTAGCACACCATCAATTTCACTGTCTGAGAAAGAGATAGGGCACCTCAACTTTTTTTTTTTAATCTGGCTGCTTTTCTTTATTTTTCTATCAGTCCTAATTTTTCTCAAATACTTTTTAATAATTTTACGTGGGAATACAATTGGCATTTTAATTGATTAAATCTCCTCTCATTTTCGTCTTTCTCTTATCATGCATTAAACAATCAGTTGTTAGTAAGCGCTTGTCCTGTTCATTCTTTGTCCTCTCCTTGTCCTTTGCGCTTTTGTAATTAAGATGTTTAACCAACTAGCCCAACAGTTAATTTTAATCCAAAATGAAGGCTAGAGGTACTAACAGGCAACCAGAACCACTCGTATAATCGAAAGAGCGTCCGAAAGGAAGAACTTTGCACGTTGCGAACACGGCGGTTGAGGCGGTCGTGAAAGAGGAAGGCCTGGCGCAGAGTGCAGCCCGGAGCCGACGGTGCTGCCCCAGGGGCGCACGGCCTTCTTCGTGGTGCAGCCGCGCTACATGAACGTGGACATCCGCATCGTGGTGGACGTGACTTCTGGGTCGGCGGACCTGCACCTGTCGGCCAAGGAGGACGCCTTCGTGGTGGAGCTGAACCGGTCCAGCGGGGCCCACCTGGTGACGCTGGACCGGCGCTACGGGCCGGCCGAGGGCGCCTCGGGGCTGGAGCGGCGGCGGGAGCCTGCCCCGGGCCCGGCCACCTACGTGCGGGTGCGGGACCCCCGCGAGGTGCTGCTGGTGCACGGCCTGCGCCGCCGCCTGGTGGTGACGGTGCCCCAGGACGTGTACGACTTGCGCAGCACACGCCTCTACCTGGTGCTGCTGGGTGCGGAGGAGCCCGCCCGAGGCAGCCTCTTCTTTCGCCAGGACCAGACGCGCATCGACCTGTTTGTCTTCTTCTCGGTCTTCTTCTCCTGCTTCTTCCTGTTCTTGGCTGCCTGCGTGGTGGTCTGGAAGCTCAAGAGGGCCCTGGACGTGCGCCACGCCCGGCGCCTGCACGCCGCCCAGATGGAGCACATGGCCCGGCGGCCGTTTGCCCGCGTCTGCGTGGCCCTGCCCGAGGAGGGGGAGCCCCCGCCCCCCCGCAGGAAGCGCAGGGCCCCCCGGGACTCCCCCAAGGGGGCCGGGGCCACCCGCCCCGTGGCCGTGGAGCCCACCGGGGACGGCGTGGCGGCCGTCACCACGCTGCTCGTTCAGCTGCCTGGCGGGCTCTCGGCCCCCGTGCGCCTCGCCCTCGGCTCCGCCCTCGTGGCCGTGCGAGGAGGCGGCGCCACTGGCGGCATTCGCGCCGCCATGCGACGCAGAACCGGCCACGTCAACTTGTGACGCTCTCTCGTCGTGGTATGCATCGTCCCAGTGCTTGCGTGCCGACTCGTTCTTCCAGACTGTCGTCGAACCGGTGGCTGCGAGATCTTCTTTCCGTCCAAATACGCTTCGGCGTCTGCAAGACTCTATCGAGGACAGGTTTTGACTTCAAATGCCTCGTGCGACAAGGGCCACTCCGACCGAGTTACGTCGTCTTCTTCCCGCTCCATTTGCCCTCGTTCGGAGAACTTTCGCCGTGGATTGGAGCGTCGCTCTCCGCGGAGGGAATCGGAAGAACGCCGGCTCTTCGCGTCCCGGTTCGGTTTGTGATTGCGAGCGTACGAGCAGCGCAAATCTATGTGCACCGAGACTTCCTCTTTACGAACTTTTGCAACTATAGTTCCTAGCAAATGAGTTTTATTAGCCGCGTGTCGAACTTTTATTACAATTTTACTGACTTTAGGCACGAGCGTGCCGTTGCGTCGCTGTTGTCGAGCGACTTTTATTTACCCCTAAGTGCCAAAAAATCTTTGCTCCGTTTATGCTCTGCATGATGTTTTAGTTTGAGATATTTTAGGTTATTTTAGCGGATATGCCAAAAAGGCCGAGGCTGCAAGAGCCTTTTTTAGAGCCGTTTTAAGTAAATTGCAGCTCTTTCTACCACTAATGTAGGACCGCCTTGAGACTGGGAGAGACCAGTTTTGATGTAGTGGTTGCGGACACTCGCTTTGTCTAAGTTGAGTTTGGTTACAGTGCTACAGGCAGATTCTTTCTCGAGGAAATAGCTTTGTGAGTGGAACCCTGCCACAGTCAAAAGCTGCTTTTGTGCATCTCACGCAGTGAATTATCTTTGGTCGTGATGGTCTGGATAATTAGTAGGCAAAAGCAATAAGTGCAAATAAAACATTTTTGAAACCTTCGTAAAATATGTTACGCTAGTTTATTCAGATTGACAGTTATTGCACAGCAAACATGTTCTTAAACAATAGCCCATACAGTAGTCAATATCACCTAGTTTACAAGGCCCACACCAGACTACAGTCGATTATATCGCAGGTATTTAGAATTATTGTTTATATCAAACAATCCAAACATCCCCTTGAAAATCACATGTAATACCATAGGAGCGTTCTCTTTTTGTATCCAATTCCCATGGCGGGGACACTCACTATAGCGAACGAAGCCCAGCTGCCCGCGATCCGATTGCGCAGGTGGCGAGCACATCAGTGTCGTTGCGTAGCTGCCAGACCGCCAAGCCAGCATACATGCGGGAAGATACATGGCAAAAGCAGTTCTGGAAAAGGAAAAACAATGAACAGTAAAAAAAAAAGTGGAGGATGGCAAAAGCAAGGGGAAGGGCAAGTGCACGCACGTGTAGCAGGGTGTGCCCGCTGTTGGAACAGTAGCCTGCGCCCTTTCCCCAAACACTGCTCATGCTCAAGCTGGAAAAGAAGGTGAATATTCTAGCAGAGCTGAATGATTTCATCTGCGCTTGCCAGCTGTTATATGAGGAGCTGACAAAAGGAAGTTGAACTGAAAGGAGGCCATTAAAATAAAGATAAAGGAGCTTAGTCAACAGCTGCAAATTGTCACCAGTCAAACAGAACAAGGCTCCCTCGAGAGCATTAAAACGAATTTGCAAAGCCAACCAGTACCACTCTAACAACAAGGACCAGTTGAAGAAGCTTGAGGACCAGATCGAAGAGGAAAGGGCAGTCTTTCACAAAAAACCGGTCACTGCGGCAAACCTAATTGATTATCGGAAAACGAACAGGCTGTTCGAGCTCAATCGGTCTGCCTTCTATCGGAAACTTGATGAAGACCAGAAGGAGATGGACGAGAACACTGATGTTGATTAGGTGATTACTTTCTGGCGAGGAATCTGGGCAACCGAAGAAGGGGAGCACCAAGAATTGATTGACCTATTGGACCCAGGGGAGGAGTACATGACTGCGGTGTACTTGACTGGACGGAGGAGCCTGCTGCCAGGAATGAGGGAACTGCACCTGAGTAGCAAGCAAAGAGCACAGCCAGCATCAGCCCTATCGTTCACTTCTACACACGACTGTCATTCGTTCAGGGAAATGCCTTACCCTTCGAGGTCCCCTGCGGTGCACCTAGCTGGGAGAAGGAGCCCGCTGCCAGGGAACCGCACCTGAGTAGCGAGCAAAGAGCACAGCCAGCATCGGTCCTGTCGTTCACTTCTACACATGGCTGTCATTCAATCAGGGGAACGTCTCACCCCTTGAGGCAGTCGTCCCCTGTGGGTATACAAAGCTGGTACGGACACAAACGTCTCCATCCTCCCAGTTGGCGGGACGAGCTTGGCCGTGCAGTGTCAAACAAAATTTAGTTTTTTTATATTTTTATTTTCTTTCCCTCCTGCTCCAGACGTTTCCTGCAGCAGTTTTTTCTGTGCCCTTCCCGCACCAGGGCTTGGGACTCTCTCACGAGCTGCAAGGATATTTGGTGGTCGTGTTCCCATCAATCTGAGAAGTAGCTGTAACGACGTTACTTTTACAGTTACTCTCGAAAAATAGTAACTCTGTTACAGTTACAAGTTATTTCCACTAAGCAGTAACGCGTTACAGTTACAAGTTACTGAAAAAAGTAACTAGTTACCGGTAACGCGTTACTAGTAACTGCCCAAGACTGCAGTCTGGTGGCGGAGTTGCGAGAGACGAGTGTTCCGCGGCTGTCGAAGCGGACTGAGGCAGAGACGCGGTGCTTGCGTCCTCGTACGGCGCGACGCCCAGATCCGCACTAAAAATCCGATAAGCCCGGTAAATTCATCGATGATGGCAACCCGATCCCAAAGCTACGATGGTTGCAGCTAGGCCTGGCTAGACCTAATGGCCGACGAGCCGACCGGGCCGACGGGCTATCAACCAAAATCGCGTCCAATTGGCCAACCGCTTTGCTCCAATCACTAAACTGTTTCATTTTACGTCATGAAGCGCTATGTTTTGCTTATTCAATTTGCAATATTTAATTTGCTAATAACTCACAAAATATTGCGAATTTGTGTAATATTTCTTTTTTCCTCGGTGTTCCTGCTTTCATGGAGCTCCGTTTTAGCGCGAACTTCAAACCGGTCAAAAAATTGTTGGTGGGCCCCTTTAAAGGGACACTGACACCCACCAAAATTTTTTGTTTCATTTTTTTGCCAGGCACTTTATTATGGTTGTTGGGGGACTACCCAATTAATATTTTGCAACAGAATAGCGTATTTTTTTAATAAAGCCGAAAGACTCAACTGCTCGAAACCGAAACCCGACGGAGGTCGGAGAAGTGGAGAGAAGAGAGTGAGTGGCCGAAGGCACGTGGCCGTGCGGGGTTTTTTTTTTTTTTTTTTTTTCTCCTTTCCGGTAGCAGACGACATGCGGCTTACGGGAACTGTTCGCCGTGCGATTCGTTTGCAGTTATGTTTGTTCCGCTCGTTGTTCTGTACTCCGAGATGAGTTGTTTTGTACATTGAGGAGTTGGAGATGAGTAGTGAGTGCCCGTGGTGAATTTCCACGATCGGCTACGAAAAGAATACACCCAAGATGTTGCGTGAAGAGCTGCCTCACATGTCCTGCGTCCGAAAAAAAAAGGGCATTGTGCGACAGAGTTTCCGAAAGATCGACGGGATCGGGACCAATGGCTGGCTGCAATTCCTGTAGAACATATACGGGCACCTCGGAAAGCGGACGCTACCTGATTTATATGCTCCTTGCATTTTGTGGTAAGTGATTACATTGAGTTCGCAGGTGTCAAAAAGGAAATCCCATACCATTTAATTCAGCGACGTGTCGTCCACAACATTTGTTCGTTTTTTTTTTTTTGTTTGTTTCTTCAGTGATAATTGTAAAAAAAAAAAATATGTAGACACCGAAAAATGTCTGAAAAAAAAAAAAAAAAAAAAAAGAAGGTTTCACGGGAGATCGAACCCGGTCCTACCGCGTGTGAGCGGACGTCTTTCCCACTAAGGTCTATTCACACGATGCATCTTGTTGGCGAATCATGTGTCGCGAAACTAGGTTTCGGGAAACAGATTCCCCGTCTGAACGCGACCAAAAAAGTGGCGCGCCTCCGAAAAAAGTGGCGCGTGTTCCTCGCTTCTCGAGCAATTTTTCGCTGAAACCTCATCGAGGCCTGTCAATCACCCGAAGGAGAAACGCGCGTTTCTCCTTCGAGTCGAGCGGCCATTGGCAGAATCCGCGCGGACTCTGCCAATGGCCGCTCAACTCGCTATGACATCTCACCTTCGAGGAGGAGCGAGCTTTTGGAGGAGTCTGATTTTTGGCCGATTCCGTATCCGAGCCGAAAGAAAACAAACAGACTTGGCGAGCGACAAGCGGCGAAGCCACTGTGAAGCACGACCGGTCGTGCTGTGAAGTGGTGCGGCGACGTGCCTTGGTCCTACTTGGTTGCAGGTGCGTGAACGGCGCCTACAGTACGGGTTGGTGGCGCGGTGCAGATTCATCAACACTCGCGACGAGTGCAAGCACCGCATATAAACATGATGACCGGATAACTTTCTTTATTAGCGGTGCAAAAAATGTCCGAAATGCTTCGAGATCATCTCGAAGCATGCGGATGGACCGCCGTGAGATGAACGATCTCGTGAAAGCACAGAGAATACCTCACACGTCGACTTTCCCTGTTAGAGTCACGAACGAATGTCGTCCCGTCCGTTGTAATCCTTGCACCGTCGAATGCACAAGCACTTTGTAGAACCACATATCAATCGCCGTCATGCCGGACCCCGCGCACCACCACCACGACCAACTCTGTCACCACAGACCGCTGCCGGCCATCGTCAACAAAACCACGTGATCCCCGTCCAAGTACCACGTGACGCCTGCGCCGCTCCGCACTCCGACGGCTACCGACGGAGTGCCAGAGAGTTAGTATGTATGATCTCTATGAGAGAGCCAGACATGTACAAATTACTCAAAAAAGGTAGTTAAGTTTCTGAGTATCGACGCCAAAAGTAATTGGAATAGAGTAGAAATTACGCATTTGTAATAGTAATTGAGGAAACTACTAACTACTGTAAAAAAGTAGCGAGTTACTTCGAAGTTACTTTTTTATATTTTTGTGGTAGCGAAATGAACATCAATTTTGATCCGTGAAAAACCCAGCGAGCCTAAAATGAATACAGTCATTTAATGGCTTGCGTTTTCACCAAAATAGATTATTCGCCCGCAGAAGCAATGGACTTTCAAAGTTTTTGATACGGGAGTTTTCCCCTTTTCCTCCTAAAGACGTCCCCAGCCAAGCTAAAATGCGTTCCATCGGCGCGCTGGATGGAACGGCAGCGTTGAATTTGAGAAAGAGGCTGTGCAGGGTCGGGTAAGCGAGTGTCGACCTTAGGTGTTCGGGACGAAACATGTGAGGTTTGCCTAGGCTAGAGGGTCTTCTATAAGAAAATCTCGTGCTTTTTCTTTTTTCTTCGGCAAGTTGAGATCGTTATGAATGACCCTTCTTTATCCCGGAGTCGTGCGGTTTAGAGAAGCTCGTTTTAGCGAGCGCCGTTTTACCGACCCCAGTTTATCGAACTCCTTTATAGAGAAACACAGTTTAGAGAAAATGGCGATGAGCCTCCTTTTAGCAAATACGGCCGCCGCGAAGCGGCGTGTACGAATAAGTCAAGTGAGTTAACAATTTTGTAATGAGCCGCCGCAGACTGGCGCCGCGAAGCGGCGGGAGCGCAGCGGGTGGCTTGGGTTAACACGCGCACCAGTGATACACGCGCGAAGTAGAAAACCCTTTTATAAATAACGTCTTCTTTTCGATAAACGACATTTCTCTAAACTGAGACCCTGCTTTCTCTAAAATGTGCTTCGATAAAACGTGCCCGTTCTCTAAAAAATTACGTGCTTCGACGAAATGGCATTCTATCAACCGGGATAATCCGTTCATGGGAGCAGTACGTTCC